TCCAATGGAAATTTTCCGTTGGAATTCTTTATATTTTCCGTTGGAATAGCTATTCTAACGGATATTCCTACGTATAAAAATTCGTGGGAAAAACGGTCGTTGGAATAGCTAAAATCCAACGGAAAATCCTATGGAAATAAATTCGTACAACTATTCAAACGGAAAAAATCCGTTAGAATTCCTCAACCATCCAACACTTATTCCAACATAAAATTAAGTTTGTTGGAATGTTCATTGGAATTTCCAACGGAAATTTTTGCCGTTGGAATTTTTAGTTAGAATTGAAGTGTATTCTTGTAGTGCGAATATTCTTGTAGTGCGAATACCGACTCGAACCAAACCGAAAAATGAAAATCTCCAAACCAAATCGAAAAATGAAAATCTCCAAACCAAATCGAACCGACTTTTTGGTACGGTTCCGGAGATCGAATTTGGGATCTCCGAATTTTGGTACGGTTCTAGAGATTTATCAATTTCTGGACCGTACCGACCCACACTCGCCCCTACGTACAATCATCAATCATCTATTTTTATATCAGATTAACCATAATCATTTTACAATAAATATTACTTTAAGACAAACTCAAAACTAACCCAACCATCTTTTTTTAACAATTAGCCCTAAAAAATTCTGTCCTTCACAGATATGTTTGCCCACTCAAGATTGTGATTAGGGACAAAAAAAAATTTAAAAATAACAATTTACAAGCTGTCTGCTCACGCCAAGAGAAAAAAAAAAGTTATCTACACAATAATTCAATACCAAATGTGTCATTTTGTATTCGTAACTCGTAAGCATCCCCCGTTATTTATATTCCCCACTGACGAACGACAACTAATTCAATTCAATTTGCTAACACACACACACACACACACACACACACACACACACACAAAAATGGCTTCGCCCAGCACAGAAACACATTCCAGCCGTGACCTCCTTGATGCTCAAGCTCACGTGTGGAACCACATTTTCAACTTCATCAACTCCATGTGCCTCAAATGTGCCATCGAACTCCGCATACCTGACGTTGTCAACCAACACGGCAAGCCAATGCCACTCTCTCAGCTGGCCGACGCCATCCCCATCGACACCGCCAAAACCCAATGCCTCCGCCGACTCATGCGCATCCTCACGCACTCCAAATTTTTCGCAAGGGTCCAAACATCCGGTGACGAGTGCTACGCCCTCACGCCGGCCTCGACTCTCCTCCTCAAGGACAACCCTCTCGGCGTGGCTCCACTCGTGCGCTCCATGCTCGATCCAGCCTTGATCGACACGTGGCACGACATGGGCGAGTGGTTCCTGAACGACGGCGGGCACGGGCCCACCCCGTTCTTTGCCAAGCACGGGATGCCGCTGTGGGAGTACTTTGGGGCGGTGGATGCGAGGGGGAACCGCATGTTTAACGAGGCCATGGCGTGCGATGCGCGGCTAGTGGCTGGCGTGCTCACAGGTGAGTGTAGGGGAGTGTTCGAGGGCGTGAGGTCGCTGGTGGATGTGGGCGGCGGCACGGGGATGGTGGCCAAAGGCATCGCGGGTGCGTTTCCCGAGATGGAGTGCGTCGTGCTGGACCTGGCGCACGTGGTTGAGGGCATGGAAGGGGGTCCGAATCTCAAGTATGTGAGTGGGGACATGTTTGACCGCATTCCCCATGCCGATGCTCTTCTCCTAAAGGTATGTCTTTTGTTTTTTTCTTTTTCAAATTTATTATTTTTTTACTGATATTATATACTGACATAAACAATATAAGGAAATATTACGGTCACGTTACACCACCATTCAGTCAGATATTTTAACAGTTGGATATACGTGTTATTATAAGATAGATGATCCAACGATTAAAACATTCACAGGACATTAGCATTTCCTAATAATATATTGTTGGCCAGGGAATAATGGTTTAAATAATTGTGAATTGTGGTGTCGTTTATGATTTCATTATCTTTAGGTGTTGTATTTTTTTTATTTTTTTTTCCAATTTCAAAACATTATTATTTCAGATTAATGCATAAAAATTAAAATATATTTGAAAATGATAATTTAGTTTATATATCAAAAATTAGTTACACACCAAAAAAAAAAAAAAAAAAAGTAATCAGTTGAGTTGATGGACTTTTCATAACTTGTACATTGAGTAGCATGAACTAAAGAGCCTGTTTTATTTTTTCAAAAAATGAATTGATCAAGTGATTCGTGATACTAGAATGGGAAGTGGATTTCTATTTGAGAAAATAGTTTTTTTTTTTTTTTTTTACCCTGTTAAGTTTTTCAACCGTTTGTTAAATTTTTTTTCACCTTAAAATGTGCGAAAACATTGTGTAATAAATATGCGAAAGTTGTGCTATGAATATCAAGATATGTGATAGTTATGCAGTTCATTCGCATAACCTTCGCACTTTCCGTGATAAAATAGTTAAAAGTACAAAGAAATTATCAATATTTGGTTCATACGAATAACTTTCACACTTTTTGAAATAAAAAAGTTAAATTATCAACTAATGGTGTGAAAAATTTAATTATATTTGAGTGAAAAAAATTAATTTTGAAACCATAGCATATTTTTTTCCCCTTTCTATTTATTTGAATCTTAATTTGGAAACCATATTATATCATACCACATCATGACCTTTCTTTTTCACGAATAAACTAGTTCGGTACCCGTGCGATGCACATGCTAATTTTATTAAGGTAAGCATTTATATTTGGATCATTGGAAGAACGTAAAAACCATATATTTAAATAAAACAAAATGTAACTTGTATATTATTAAACAGAAAACTATGTACCTTTGTGTAAACCGTATAAAAGAAAATAAATATTTGACACTTATATATATTAGGATTTTAAATATGCTTAAATAAATCAATTAAATTATTTAGCAGGATATATATAATATGATTTATACTGGTTTTATGAAGATTGCATAGTCAAATATAACGGAGATTGTAAAACGTCTTTCTTCATAATCTATAGCTTTATTATTTTAAAATTGTAAATTACTTAGCTTAAGGAAGGAAAAAATTGTATACGTGTATGCAAGCAATTTTAAATTTGTATTCTAGCGGATTAAGCAAAACCCAAATTTTTAGGATGTTCCAATACGATTTCATTTTGAATTCAAATTAATTTTACCTAACACCGTTTTATGTTTAAAAAAAATCGAACTAAAGAAAGTAGTAGCCAAATGATATGGAATTTTTGAATTTTAATTATCAATTTGAAATAGGGTCGATTTCTATGCAATCCTATATTTTTTAATAAACATGATCTGTTACAATTAGATAAAGATACATGTTATAGTATTTTGCCTAATTTGAAATTCTCGATTTTATGGTAAACAATTTTTTTTTAATAAAAATTGAGAGAGTTTTGACTTTTACAAAATTGTCATGCCTAAGTTTACCTAAAGCAAGCTGATTTCTATGAAATCTGATTTTTTTAATAAACAATTGATCTGTTGCAATTAGAAAAAGATATATGCGATAGTACTTTGCCTAATTCAAAATTCTTTATTTTATAGTAATCAGTACTTCCTCCTATTCATTATAAATGTCGTTTTGACTTTTTTGATTCATCCATTTTATTATGTATCTAGACATTAATATGTCTAGATACATAACAAAATGGATGAATCACAAAAGTCAAAACGACATTTATAATGAACAGGAGGTAGTATTTTTTATTAAAAAATAAGAAAGAATTTTGACTTTTGTAAAATTATAAGCATCACTAGAAATTTATCTAAATCAAATTCACAAAACTTAAAAATTTATGGTGCATATATAATTGCTCGATTTTTTAGGAATAATTTAAAAATAAAATTAAAAAATTGCTGAAAATAGAATATAATAAATATTAGTTGACTTTTTTATTACTATTTTTAGTAAACAGGTCCAGTCTTTATATATACTAGTACAAAGCCCGTGCGATGCATGGGGTGCACGATTTTAAGGTCATTTATCCATTCTTATAATTATATAAATGAATAAAAAAAATGTACGAGATATATATAGTACGTGACCTGTAATAGGCCAAAATGTGAACACAGGTGATACACGGGGTGCACAATTTTAAGGTCATTTATTAGTGCATACCCCGTGCGATGCACGTGATACATATAATAAATCAATTATTTCTATGGGACTTGTACGTCTAGACAAAAAAACAATAGGCTTGGATCATCCATATTTCACATCTTTTAATAAGTGGCGTTTATTTAAACCAAAAAATTAATATGTTAATTAATATATAATTCCGCTAACACGTCATACTAATATTTATTTGATTTTAGAATACATATTTATTCACTGATATAGGAAAAAATAAATATTTTATTAATTATTGTTCACCATATAATACTCAATTATTATTTTATTATAAAATTTACATTCATATAATGTAATTATTATTATTTATAGAAGTAGTCTTCTTTATGTAATGAAATTCAAAATAAAATTTTGAGTATAAATGTTTACAAAATACACACACATGTTTTTTAGAATTCAATTTTCTCATAATAATTCTTTTTATTTAAAAAAAAAATGATTTAGCAATTGCCAAAAAATAAATCTCTTACATAATCAAGAGATATTTTCTAATTTTCATCATAAGGCTTTATAGTTTATTTAACATACTATGCAATAGAAAAATATTTTACAATAACTTCATTTTTGAAACATAACAAAAAAAAAAGTGATAAAAACACTACCATAGTTGACAATAACATACAAATAAATAACATGTCGAAATTTTAAAGAATAACTATAATTTTATTATCTAACCATCAATAAAATCATTTAATGATGTGATCATTATCTTTTAAATAATAAATAATATTAATTTTTTTTTTAAAATAAATATTAGTGTTATATAATTAAATAAAGGTTAAAAAATATTACTCGACAAATATTAAATATAATGGATATCAGTAAAATCATTGCATAAATTATTTAAGGAAAAAATATTGAAGATCATATTTGGATAGTAAATGTAAATATGCAAGCATTTAATGCATATAGTAAAAAATTTCTAAAATAAAGTATGCATTAAATGTGTGTTGACTTTTCTTACTATTGTTTTTGGTAAATAGGTTGACTTTTAATATATATAAAGATGTATATATAGATACCACTTAAACCAAATCTTATTTTGGAAACCATATTTCATCATATCATACAATATAACATCACATCACGGCCTTTCATTTTCACAAAATAATAAATTGAAACCATATCGTATCATATCACAGCCTCTCTTTTTCACAAAATAATTCCATGCGCAGCTGACAAGTTTTTATGTTGTGACGCATCACCTACAAGCTTGGCCTGTTTTACATCTCAAGGTTTATTCAATTTAGTACTGATGATATTAAACTTACGGATATATTGTTAGAAAATTAATTAATTAGTATTGGATTTGACCTCGTTTATTCAAGTAGATTTGCGGGATATTTTTTTTTTTTTCAAAACGAATAGAAAAAATTTAAATTAAAATGCACAAATATGTAAATTACATAGCCCGTAGCTGAATAGAGCAGCTAACAACTGATAAAAATTGGGAGGACATGTCAGAAGCGCCTAGAATCAACTAGCAACGTTAGAAAACAAACTCAAAACAACACAACGCAAAGAAACTACAAAAACTACAACTAACTCTCAAATAGGAGACTACAACGACCCCAACTGAGTAATACCCGCTCACACTCGGGTTCACAAGGGCTAATGACTCAAACTAAAAACACAAATCCTAACCAAACAACAAAACTATTACGAAACACAAGACCTAAACGACACAAACACCAAGTACAAAAACAAACAAAAACAAACCTAAGCAAAACAACAAACAAGTCCCTTCCACAGCAGAATAATTGAGTCGAACCAGCAGATGAACAATCTATTTCCAAGAGAGATCCAAAAGCCTAGGAACTGCAACCGAAACTTCCAAATTGCCTAGCTGAATCTGAACCCAAGCTCAGAACCAAACCTAAAAAAGATTCGTCCCTAGCCAGAGAAAGTTGACACCCCTCTACCAACTAACACCACTAGGCAGACCAGCACAACCC